CATTGAAACAGTGAGCAATTCCGCCACGGTTCCTAGTAACATTATACAAAGCTAACCTAATTATCTATATAAATCTATTCGATCAATTTCATAGAAAATATATAAAAAATCTGTTTTAAGCTTGTTGTCCAAATTGTAAAATTAAATAAATAGATTTATGAAGAAATTAAAATTATATACCAAGAACATATAATAATTACAACTAAATTTCAACAAAAATACACAAATCAATAAAATGGTAAAGAAACCAAACCGAAACCTCCATAGTAGCAGTTTCCTTAAAACAGATTTCGCTGCCTCACGGGTCGAGTGCTTGAGGAATCCCGGCGTCTGTCTCCCAGGATACGACGGTCAAAACCAGCTACGATAGAAGCACTTTCTGTCTAGCTTAGCGAACAAAAACCGTGGCAGCGCTCTCTCACTGTAGGAACTTTCTGGCAAACTGACTTGTAAAATGGAAACAAAATTTTCTGTATTAAGACTTGACAGGAGGGTCTTAATTTATACATGTATAGGGGAGAAAGGAAGAGCCTCCAGCCATTATGGCTGGTCATTAAAGCCCCATTAACCAGGATCCATAACCCCTTTCCAGAAAAATGAAAAGTTTGGATACCCAATGGGTTCACACCCTTTAACCAAGAAAAAAGGATTTAAATACCCTTTAAAATCCCATTCATGAATCTAACATCATGAGGCATTTTATTGGCAATTTCTTATTCAATTCTCAATGATTTTTGGCTCACCAGGACCTAACACAATAGATGGTTGGGACCCACTTTAATATTTAATTAAAGTCACCACACTTTAATATTAAATTAAAGTCACCAAAAAACCATTTTTTCCAACACATACCTCAATTAAATTCAATCAATGGGGTCTTCCTAGAATTACATCTGATCACTGCCCTATTGTGCTCATGGAGGATGCTAGAGATTGGGGGCCTAATCCCTTTAAGTTCTTGAATGCTTGGATGTTGCATTTGAATTTTGCAACTTTTGTGGAGCAAATTTGAAGGGATTTACAATTCTCAGGGTCTGCTGGTTTCATCCTACAAAGAAAGTTGCATACCCTCAAGTTGGCTTAAAAAAAATGGAGTAAAGAGGTATATGGCGATGTTTTAACTAAAATGCAAGCTACTGAATATGAGCTTCATCAGTATGATTTGAAAGCTGAAAATAGACCTTTGGTGGAGGAAGAACTATAAAGCAGCAAAGAGAGAAAATAAATTAAATGTGGATGTTGAGCAAGAAGTTGGAATGGAAATGGCTTCAAAAGTCTAGGCGAGATTGGAATTTCAAAGGTGATAGGAATACAAGATTTTTCCATGTCATGCTACTAGTAGGCAAAATAGAAATTCTCTCAATTCCATCATAGTGGGGGATGTTTTTTTTGAGAAGCCAGATCAAGTCAAAAATGCAGTGTGGTCACACTTTTCAAATCACTTCTCTAAAGCTTGGAAGAATCGAACAATACTTGTCAGGGATTTCAAGAGTGTAAGGCTTAGTGAATACTTTCATATGCTTGAGGCAGAGTTCACTAAAGAAGAAATTTGGGCAGCTATAATAGATTGTAATGGGAACAAACCTCCTGGGCCGGATGGATTTAATCTGATGTTTATTCAAAAGTCTTGGAAGATGCTTAAGGAGGAGATGCTTAACGTTATGAAGGATTCCAAACTAGTGGTAAATTAGCAACAGGTTTTAACAGTACCTTTATCACTCTAATTCCAAAGAAGAACAAAGTTGTCACTTTAAATGAGTTTAGACCTATAAGCCTTGTTGGTTTTGTGTACAAAATACTCTCTAAAATCCTAACATCCAGACCCAAAAAAGTTATGCCCACGGTTATTGGTGACTCACAATCAGCTTTCCTGGGAGGTAGAAACATTTTGGATGGAGTGTTGGTTGCAAATGAAGTTATAGATGGCTGGCATAAATCCAAGAAATCAGGGCTGCTGTTTAAGTTAGATTTTGAAAAGGCTTTTGACTCTATAAATTGGGACTTCCTTTTCTCAATGTTAGCAAACTTTGGGTTTGGATCCAAATGGATTTCATGGATCAAGGAATGTGTCACTACTACAAGAATTTCAATCATTGTTAATGGTTCACCAACTAAGGAGTTTAATCCTCAGAAAGGCCTTAGGCAAGGTGATCTCCTATCCCCATTCCTCTTTAACTTGGTTGTAGAAGCACTAAACATTCTTCTTCAAAGAGCTAGGGAGTTGAATCTTCTCAAATGGGTTATCATTAGGAATAATCAAGTTCAGCTCTCCCATCTCCAATTTGCAGATGACTCTCTTTTGTTCTGTGAAGCTGAGCTATCAGAAGTCCTTAGTTTGAAAAGGATCCTCAGGTGTTTTGAAGTAGCATCAGGCCTCAAAATCAACAATCATAAGAGTGTGGTTTGTGGGGTTGGTATTTCTGTCACTGCTTTTGATGAGTTTGCATACCTGCTAAACTGCAAGACTCAATGTTTACCACTCAAGTACCTTGGATTGCCTCTGGATGCTAATCCCAGAAGGAAGAGGATGTGGAAACCAGTTTTTGAAAAATTCAAACGGAGGCTTGCTGGATGGAAAAGGAAGTTTCTCTCTTTTGCAGGGAGATTGAGCTTGGTGAAAGCAGTGCTGTCATGTCTGCCAGTATTTTACTTGTCTTTGTTCAAGTTACCTGAAGGAATAGCTAAGGAGATAGACAAAATTCAAGCTTCATTTTTATGGGGAGGCCTATATCTAAAGAGGAGAATACATCTTGTGAAATGGATAGAGGTAACAAAGAGCATAAAACAATGAGGATTGGGCATCAAAAGAATAAGGGATCTGAATGTGTGCTTATTACTCAAGTGGTGGTGGACGTTTGCTTCTGATCATGATTCCTTACGGAAGAGGGTCATAGGTAGTAAATACAAATTTCAAGGAGGGGCATGGCTTCCAAACCTTAGCTCAAGCGACAATTTCTCAAAAAATTAGGGTGGCATTGTGGCAGCAACTAATCAGCAAGAGTCTCTCTTAATGTTCTATGTTAGTAACTTACAATTAAAAGTTCGGAATGGCTATAGAATCAGGTTTTGGTATGATCATTGGTATGGGGCTCTTTACCTCAAAGATGGGTTTCCCAAACTTGTTCAATTGTCCAATAATAATGAGGGACTGCTTAAGGACTTTGTGACAAACTCAGCTAAAAATCGGTTGCTTACCTTTAGGAGGTCCCTTTTTGAATGGGAAAAGGAAGAGCTTCACAGACTTCTTGTCATCTTAGCAGCATCTCCTTCTCTGAATCTGGGTGTAAAAGACAGTGCAGCTTGGTTAGCATCGAAACCTGGTCAGTCCCTTGTATCCACTCTTTATAACCATTCTAACCTTGCCTTTGGTAACACTGTTAGTTCAAGTAGTTTGGTTTGGCTTGGCTAAACTACCTGCCACCCAAAGTGCAATTTTTTGGTTGGCTCGCATGGAAACACAAGGTTAAAACATCTGTATTCTTGCAACGGATTGGTGTATTGGATAGGTCGACTTCTATCTCTTGCCTCTTCTGTAAAACACAACAGGAAATAATTCATCATGTTCTGATTCACTGCCCTATGGTTTGGAGGATTTGGACTGGGTTGTTACAATGGTGGGGAACTCTTTGGGTGGTTTCTGGTTCTGTTGAGGAGCTGCTGCAGTGGTGGGTAGGTTATATTTGCAGAAAAAAAAGAGAGGAGAATCTGGCGTGCCATACCATTGGTCACTCTTTGATCCATCTGGAAGATCAGAAAAGAGTGCTTGTTTCAAGCCTCCCATCTAAACATTCAGGTGTTGCAGGAACTCATAATCATATGGCTTGCTATCTGGTTAAAGTCCTCTTCCAAAGAATTCCACTTCTCCATTTAAGACCTTCTCTTCAATATTTCTGGTGTGAGGCATTGCCATCGTTCATGAGGTGTATTTTGGTTGATAATGCTCATGGCATGGCAGCAGTGTTTTTTGCACAGATCTTATGCTCTCTGATCTACTACTATTTGATGTTCTGATCTGGCTGTTGGATTGTTTGTAGCTCTAAACAGCAGATTACACTCTGGTCTACTGCTAATTATTGTTTGAATAGGTTGATGGTTTGTTTGCAGTACTAGGCAGCAGAGTTTTAGTTGCTTTGTTCTTTCAGGGTGTTCATTCCTTTGCGCTTGGTGTTTTGATTTGATTTGATCCATTAGTCTTAGATTGGTCTGATTGCTGCTTTTCTGATGACTTAAAATCTGGTTGGGGTTGGTCTGAGTTCTGCATTTTTCTGGATAATCTGCCTTGCCTGCTATTTTCTTGCTGCTTCAGAGTTTTGTAGGATTGAGTGCTTGCAGCGGTTGCCACTTGAGGACTGCTTTGTTGGATTGGTTTTATTTTGCTCTCTTCTGGACTGGTTTTCTTTTCTTTTGCTCTGTTGGTTTCACACCAACTAAGAGGTCGGAGCTTTGATCTAGCTCCTAGCTCCTCTTTATTGATGTAATTTTCATACTCCGTATGTTTTCATCAATAAAGACTTCTTTTTGCCGTTCAAAAAAAAAAAAAAAGAGTTAGAGAATGTTGTTAAATTGATAAAAGATTGGGAAGAAAGAGTTCACAATTTTTTTGAAGAAAGCATTAAGCTTGGCAGTGATAAACTTGTTAAAATGGTTTTAGTTTATGGAGATAAGTAAAAAAGAAAAACAAATTGCAAAATTTTTGTTTTTTGTTCAACAAAAATAAATTTTGTTGACGAAAAACATATGAATAGAACAGTGGTACATCACAAGAACATCAATAAGCACCTAAAGAACCTAAAGAACAAAAGTTGGTAAAAAGAAACCAAAATGGAAAGAGACCAACACAACACTCCAAACAGAGCACCTGGAACCCAATTCAAACCAGCAAAAAGATGAGTCTCAAAGAACAAAATCCTTAAAATAGAAAAATTAGATAACCAAAGTCGCATGCAACAATGAAAGGTAAACAACATTGTAAGTACATTACAATCATAACTATCCATCTATCACTTATTACAAGATACTAGAGAACATAATGATTGTATGAAGGTGAGTCCAAGGAGAATAGCAGCCACAAAAATAGATAAGACCTGCCAGGGAGTATTGCAGTAGTTATGCCTCAAGGTTGCCTTCCACTTGTGGCCACGAATTTTATAGTAGTCATTTAACTCTTTATGAAGTTTAGTAAAATAATATGCATTAGTGTCCAAGATAACTTCTTTGCCAAGTCTGTTAAAGAGATTTGACACATCATTGTTGTCACTTAGCCAGTTCTCAACAACTTTGGCTTTAACAAGTAACTCGACATCCTTGGAAGTGTTGATAAGGTAAACCAAAATCACGGTGTAATCAGTCACAAACTTAACTTTACAATGACATTGCTCATAGGCAATAATGTTTCGTAGCAAACGTTCTGTCGAATCATTTATTTTTTTCTGTGGGATTTCCAAAACATTGCCGCTAAATTTTATGTCAAATAAACTTTTGCTTGAACTTACCTTAAACTTCACTCCAGCTTCATGAAGCTCTGTTGCACTTGGTATAAATTCAAATTTCCCTTTAGTATGTCGCAAACTTTTTCTTGGTACGAGACAACTTCTTAGCAAATCAAGAAAATGTTTTACTTCTAAGGGGTTAATATCCTGTAGAACTGGACGTTCTTGTATTTTGTTTGAATTAAGAAACCAATGAAGGGTGAGACAAACAAAGGGGTAGGAGAAGGTCTCATTTTCGTTAAAGACCAAGTTTATATTGGTCATTTCGAAAAGATCTTGGATTACAAAAAACGGAAGTTGATTTTCAAGCAATAACAAGTCTTGGCTTATATCATTAATCATCCACGGTTTCCTAAATATCCGATCATTTGGAGTTATTAAATCATCAAACCAGTACCTCAATAGGACTTCAATGATAAATGCAGCATCCACAAGAATAATTTCCAAAAATTTGTTACTGTTGAGGCTGATTGTTTCTGCATAATATCCGCGGATTCGTTCTTCATTTCCCCCCATGAACTTGACCAATTCCTCCAAGCTCTTTTGACTCCGCTGCATGAAATAGTTGAAGTACCTCCACTTGTGGTCTTCCATGTCTTCTAGGCCTTCTTTGCCATGGTGAAGCGGCCCAATTGAGACTCTGAAAGGAGTATAAGCCTCTTCATTGATGTTCCGAAATTTGTTGTGAACTTTATATATACAACAATCAGGGGATGGGCAAGATAACTTAGCTAACTTCTCCTTGATAGATTTCACTAGGACCTCCACATCAATTGAAGCATCGCCATTTCTGCTAGTAGTTCCATGTCTTGATGTGCCAAAATTTTCCATTATTAATGTAATGGGTTTATGTGGTTATCTGGCAACAAGATAGACATCCATTTGGATTTAGCACCAAATTATAAATTAAAAAAACTATTTAGCTACTATTAGCCTCTCGAGTGCTAAGTGTTTTTATGCTCAAGTCATGTTATGATTTGGGGCAATGATAAAGGTCAATTGTACACCGTAATTGATGGGAAGTTAATTGATGATTTTTTAGTATTGTCTATTGCTTCTGAATGTTACATGATTGCGCGGGACTTGTCCTAAATGTAAGAAATTATGTAATTGTTTGTATAGCTTCTAAGAGTATTAGATAATGTTCTATGGTCAACAAATAATTTTTGATACACGATAAGTTTTGAAAGTGTTAATGAACGGACCTAATTCCATGAGTTGATGTAATTTTTATAATTATAAATATTAGAAGATCAAAGTTGATGTAAGTATACTAATACCTAAAAAAATTATATAAAATGGAAAAAAAATAAAGAAGATAGATAATGGAATTCCCATCGAATTGGAATATTTAGGTAAAGTTACTTTAAACCCAATTGTTGTAGGGTAAACCCTATGGTCATGTTTGATTCACTTCACTATTAGTGAATTATTAATAATCCTATCAAATTAGTGTGGTGTTAACTATCCCACCCCTACCCCATTACTAATAATCCTACAAATTTGTTGGATTAATTATCCATTGGATTAATAATCCTAAACCAAAGTGTCAAAACAAACATAGGATAATTGGGCCCACGGATTAATAATCCCAATCCCATGCTTTAATCCCTCGCCACCACCCAACTTAAATTAAAGCACATCATATTTACAAACATATTTTATCACACGAGATAGCAAACAAATCTCTTATTTTTATTTATTTTTTTGTTTAATATATAATTGTAAAAACAAATAAACAAGAAAAAAACTACAAATCAATGAAACAGTTGAACAATAATTACATTATAGATAGAATCTTTTTTTGAGCAACTCTTTCATACAGGAAGAACTTGTACCATGCACACAAAGATTTGCACTATGCACACAAAAAACTTACATTATGAAAATAAAAATATTTTTTCACTGGTCCACTTTTTTCAATAAACAAAAACAAAATAAGAAAGAAATGGGAGATATTATAAAGAAGTCTAATGATAAATCATTTTGGTTAACAACACCTAAAAGAACTTGGACCATATCTAGCTAATTGAATAACAAGTTTTATAAAATCATAAGGAAAGAGGGCTCTGGTTTGATATCCTTAAGGTTGAAAAAAAAAATAAAAAATAAAAAATAAAAAAGGAAAAATTATGCAAATAGTCCCTGTACTTTACACGATATGTCAATTTAGTCCCTATAGTTTCAATTTGCTCGATTTTTCCCCTTAATTTAATGGATTGTGTCATTTTAGTCTAATAAATAACGGTTGTTAAGTTAATTTAACGGAAAGTCAAATAATGTGTCAATTTGGTCTCTGTATTTACCATAATATGTGAATTTAGTCCCTGTCAAAATCGAGAAAATTGAAACCATAGGGACCAAATTGACACATTATTTGATCTTCCGTTAAATTAATTTAACAACCATTATTTATTGGATTAAAATGACACAATCCGTTAAATTAATGAGCAAAATCGAGCAAATTGAAACTACAGAGACCAAATTGACACATCATGTAAAGTATAGGCACTATTTACATAATTTATCCAATAAAAAATAGTTTACCTTTCCTTTCCCTTCCCTTCCCTTTAATAACATGGCTCTAGGTGGTGGATACATTTTATCGACTGGTTTTAACAATATATTTTTATTTTATTTTATTTGAAAAAATAGGAATTGATTTGATGAAAATAAATAACAAAAAGATATTTTCACCTGAACAAAACGAAAATCATATGAAATGAATAAATATCTTCGATTTTTTTCAAGTTTTTCTTTTTAATTTGATTCATATAAGATCAAATACAACACATAATCAATATAAAGAAACTCTTGAACTGGGAGAGAAAATCCCAATAAATTTTTCACATTTTTTTTTTATTTGATTCATATAAGATTAAATACAACACATAATCAATACAAAAAAAACTCCCAAAGTGGGTGAGAAAATCCCAAGAAATACACGGGAATGCAAGTGAGGAGATTCGAATCACTAACGTCCAGGAGTTCTAACTAATTGAACTAGTGCTGTTGATTTTTTTTTTCACTTTTCTCAAAATCTAGTTTTTAGTTTTTTTTTTGTTTTTTTTATAAAAAATAAAATAATATAACATAAAATATATTTTAAAAATAAAATCAAGTAGAATGAGTGTGGTTGATTTTCAGGTGTCATTCCCTGTGGTTTATCCCCTAACATAAGGAAATGACTATGTCTACTTTTCCATCCAAGTTAAATGGCTGTGAGGTTCACACACCCATGAAGAGAGTAAGCTTTATTTTAAGACTAAAATACCTCTTATATATCTTTAATTTACAAAAACATGCCATTATTTCCTAAACCTATATATATATATATATACACACCTACACAGATAAATATTTTTTTTTTTTTTCATTTTTTCTCTAATGGCTGCCCACTATATCAATGAAGTTTGTTGGGTCAAAACAGTGGCAAGCAATAAACAAAAACTTTCTAGTGGGTTTGATTTCATTATTCAATTTTTGATTATGGTTGGTTGGTTTGATTAGCTTGATTGTGTTATGAACTTTGGTTGACGTATGGTGGGCTTTTCACTGGACTCTGTTCTGCTATAGGTGACTAATCTTGATTTGATTACGTGTGGTGATGGGTTTAATTTCTTTGTTCAATTTTTATTGAATTTCTGGTTGGTGGGTTTAATTACCTTGATTATGTTATGAATTTTGGTTGAATACAGTGGGTTTTTCACCGGTCTGGTTTTCCAATGACTCTTGAAAACTGGTGAGCTTCGTCTTCTCAAATTGCCTTCGGAGCTGCGTGTGCGAAAACAATTTTTAAAAATTTGAAAACAACTTTCATGTTTGCTAAAAAGCTTGTATTTTTCAGAAAATTTCCAAAACAGTTCATAGAACAAGTATTATCCGAAAATGAAAACCCAACAAAATAATCCCAAAACATCAAAACCCACCAAAGGAAAAAAAGTGCAAGAACCAAACTATCAGAATCATAACTTGAAACACTTTGAGAACCAAATCCAGGAATAGAAACATTCACAAATCTGAACAAAAACCCAGATCAGAAATAGAAAAAAAGAGAAAAGATAGTGAATCTACAACTCCATGGACAACTCCAGCCTTTTTGGTCGAATACGGTGGGTAATCCATGAGCAATTCACTTCCCATGGAAATGCGCAAGTGTATTGGTGAGCAAGAGGAAGAAGACGAGAGTATAAAGGTTAATTTACATGTTTTGTTAATAGAAGTTAGTGTGCATTTTAGTTCACAAATCACGTGCAGGGTTATGTGATTATTTTTAAATAATAGGGAATAAACCGTGTATGACCCAAACCATAAGGGGTGAAGTGAAATTTGCTCAAAAATTTATATAATTTACAATGTCCACCAAACTTAGACTGCATAATATATGGTCTAGTGACCTTAATGTTTGTGGAAATTCAAGGAATTATACGGGCTAGGAGGACGGACATTTCTGGTACTTAATCTAGCACCGGTGGGTTGTTACCCGTTGTTTTTGGCGGGGCTACCACACAATAGCTCCGACCTTGATGCATTCGGATGCGTAATTTCCTATAACAATGCAGTGGTGGACTACAACAACATGTTGAAGGAAGCTCTGAATCAAACCAGACAAGCAATCCCAGATGCTTCTCTGATATATGTGGATACTCATGCTGTTCTGCTGGAGCTCTTCCAGCACCCCACATCTCATGGTATGGTTCGATTCAAACCAATGCCTCAAAAAAGTCACATAACTCATATCATACCATGTGTATCTTCAATTTATGGGATTGACAACTAATGTATACATGTACTAGTAAAATTCTGTCCTTGAATCACTTCATTATTTGGAAACAACATTAATCGTTTTTTTTGGTTTTGGGCTGATTTTTTGGTTTTGGACTGTTTTTTTTGGTTTTGGACAGATTTGGAGTGGTTTATAATGTTCTGGTTTTTGGACAGGTTTATAATGATCTGCACAGATATTTTTGTTTTGGACTGATTTTTTGGTTTTGGACAGTTTTTTTTTTGTTTTGGACTGATTTGGACAGGTTTATAATGATCTGCACAGATTTTTTGGTTTTGGACTGATTTTTTGGTTTTGGACAGTTTTTTTTGGTTTTGGACTGATTTGGACAGGTTTATAATGATCTGCACAGATTTTTTGGTTTTGGACTGATTTTTTGGTTTTGGACTGTTTTTTTTGGTTTTGGACAGATTTGGAGTGGTTTATAATGTTCTGGTTTTTGGATAGATTTGGACAGGTTTATAATGATCTGCACAGATATTTTTGTTTTGGACTTATTTTTTGGTTTTGGACAGTTTTTTTTGGTTTTGGACAGATTTGGACAGGTTTATAATGATCTGCACAGATTTTTTGGTTTTGGACTGATTTTTTGGTTTTGGACAATTTTTTTTGAGTGAAAGATAGATGTGGGTATGAAGTGAAGGCTGATGTCAAATTACATCAAAGTGACCGATATCGGTCATTAATGACCATGTTTAGAGCAATAGCGAGTAGAGCCGCTGAAAGTGAAGAAACTTATCAGTTGTTAGTCAATCACAACCTCATTTCGTCATGG